TGGTAGCGCAACGTAGGTTCTCCTCAAGGGATATTAAGTCCATACCTTTAACTTTTAAATTCTTTATCATACAATTTCTTTTTGAAGTCATCACATCTATATTTATTTTAAAATATAAACGAGAAGTTCCCACTAAATGAGGAAAGCCTTAGGAGGCTAACTCTTAGGAGTTAGTTGTCTGTACATCTATATAATTATAATAAAGTAAATATGTTCTGATATCTAACATATATCTTCTTCTTACATAGTGTTGCAGTTATCCAATTACATCCAATAACACATACCCATTTTATTACTTATACAATCACCAATCGATCTTGTCCTTAGCATATGATAATATAAAATCAATTTAAATATATACGTTTAGTATGAATAGTTTTTATATGTGTACTTGTTATTATTAGAAATGACAAATATGTTAGTGCATTCCATTTTGGATAGCTCAAAAGAGTAGAACTCGAAAAGCAAATATTTGAAATTTTAGTTTTTTTGTTTAAACGATTTAAATTTTCTGGTTTCTTATGTTACCACACCAACGAATTTATTTAATTTAATGAGTTTCTACACTTAAGTTTACTTGAACGACTCAAGTTTCAGTATTCCGACTGACGAACTGACAACAAAAAGTCTGATAATGATTCTATGTAGAATGTGGGCATGGCTTCCATATTTGCGCTTGTCGGTAGCATTTAACTAAAAGCGTGACATCATGCCTTTTTAATTTCATATTCACTTCAGTTGAAATTAAACTGCTCAAATCTGTATCTGAAGATGCAAATATGTAAATTTATAAAGTGCACAGAAATAGATACATCGAATCATTCTAAGATTTCATGCTTGTAGTTTATTAGATGTAAACAAAAGTTGAAGAATTTGTTAAATAATTAATAACAATAAACAACACAAACGACATTATGCAATCAACCAATGTTGGTTGCATGCCAATCCGCCTTGAATCCACTTTCGTGCTCTACTTTCTTTCTGAATGATGGCCGTAGCCAGCAGACATAGCGGCCAGTTCGGCTATTACTCAAGTAAACGGCTTAGTACGAATAACTGAAGAAAAAGTAAAAATGAAATGAATTACAAATGTTGAAATTGAAAGCAGTAGAAAACGAAATCCGTACAAATTGCATCGCGTGTGGGAAATATGGAATATTTAATCTATGGCTTATTGACTCTGCAGATTCATTGCAACACAACAGTTCATAAGCAAATTAAACCATGCCAACAGAAAATGTGGGCTTTACGGTGACATAAACGAATTTTGATTTTCCAACCGATCGACAAAAGATTGAAATGCTTATCACGTCTACGGCCGCACAGTGATTTTGTACATCGTAATACTCTCGTATCTGCTGTGACACATTTTACTATCGAAGACAGGCCTTGCGTAAGTACTCAAGTCGCATAGATTCAATGACATGTCTTCATACAAAATGGCATGTACAACAAGCCAGCAGTGGAATTTCTAATGATGACGTAAAACATATCACTTAAATTCATATATAAAATTTAAAAAGCAATTTATCTTCTAATATACGAGTATAGGTATATAAATTATGTCATGAAAATCAATCCAGATTATCGTGCTAAGTTAACTCAGAGCGTAAATCAAACCATGTTTGGAACAATACATTTCCTACTTTTAATGTCAAATCTTTTGATCGATATGTGCAAATCGGTTTACCAACACTTAATATGTTTTAACTACTGCTACTATTGCTAGTTTTTACATTAAAATCGGTTTTGTTTTTTAGGATTTTAACTTTTATTTCGATCGTATGTTTTTGTATATTCCTATACGTATTTCGGCAAATTCTCTTTTGCCTTCATCAGGAGAATTGTCTAGAATTCAGACTGCTATTAACGATTGGATAACAGAATAAAAATGTCTCTATTAGTAACACATTCCATATAACCACAAGAAAAGGAAGTAACTCATATATTTGTTTACAAAGATGCACCTTTTCTCAAAAAGACGGAACAGACATTACTAATGCGCCAGATAAGTTAACATTAACATCTTCGCATTTGGCAACTGTTCAATGTGACGAAGGGGCATGAGACATTGTTATCTTAGGAATAACGGTATTGTTATCTTAAGAATAACGGTGATAAGGAAGTTTGGCCGTTTGCAAACTATACGAACTAACTAGAGTAGTAGTGCATGAGCAAAAGAAAAAGATTGTTTATATAAAAGCTGGAAAATCAGCTCGGATAAATATTCGATTGACCTGCTAACCTTTTCGAATGTTCTTTGTGGATGTTACGTAAAGAGGACGTTAGAGTTTTAAATTCTTCAATAGGATTTACCATAAAAAAGGTTAAGAAACTGCGAATTATAGCGAATTATTAAATTAGCGAATTATAAAATTATTTAATTGTTTAGCAAAACACTTTTCGCAATTATATATAAAAATTATATAAATACATTGTTAAGATGGTAATGTGTGTATTTAAAATTTGCATGTTTGGCTATTAAAAAGTTCACAGTTCAGTTGAGTTCACAAACAAAGCCTCAAAATTCTTGAACCTCAAAGGGAAGCAGCAAAGCAATTTATACAAGTTCGTAAACATCAACAAAGTGTTGCTTTGTTGTGTCTTCATTACCGGATTGTGTATGGAATTGTGTCTAATAAGTACCTGAGAGGAAGGTGTGGTTCCGCTTGAATGACAACTGCAGCACGCGACCGAGGAAAAAAACTATATTACCACATAAAAATGTCAGCGTTTGGCCATTCATTTTGGTCTAATAGGCCTGCTTGAAAATGTAAACAAAAAAGTTCGCATAGCAGCGCGGCACTTACCCATAATAAGGTCACCGGCACAATACAATGAGTGACAAATTGTAAAATAAAAAATTTGGGTATTAAATGGGGAAAAAATGAAATAGAAAATAATTTTGTTAGGTAAAATAAAGAATTACTATTCTTCTGTTGATTTTTTTATGTTAAAACAAAAATTAAAATCTCTTTTTATTAGCCACCAATTATTCAAAGTTTCTATAGGATATTAATATAAAGACAAATAGATATACATATATATATATATATATATATATATCACAGTAGTAAACAATATCTGTATATATCTGTAGAGGTCATTATTAGTATCTAAAAGTCAACACCTCGAAAACTGTCACTTAAGGTAATGAGTAATCCAACCAACTGAGCACTTTCCTCCCACACAATTGTAGAAAAACTCTCTGTTTGTTGAAGTACAATGCTTCGCCCACTGTAAGACTTCAGCGCTTGGACGCAACACAACACAAACACAAACACATACACAGCCATATAAAGAGAAATACACGAATTTCCGTAGACCAAAGCCGTGCGGAGTTCAAGAAACTCAATGCAAGTACATTTGGACATAATTTTACATTTCGATAATTATAAATTGTCGAAACGATAAATAATGACTTTAGTATGAAAATCGAATTTTTAAGTTGTTGCCTAAACCAACAAGGAATGTTTTTTTACCTTTCTAGTTTTGAGAGAAGATATGTGTAAGTTGGCCATAATTCTTAATCGTAAAACTCCAGACTCAGTTATGAAAATATATTTGGAAATTGAAATGAACAATTTAAAGCAACAATTTAATTCAGCAAAAATATTTAAACTTTGCATTGTGTGACAGAGATTGGTATAAAATAAATTCTTTATGTATACAAAAAATAAAAATCAGCAAAAAAATTTATAATAAAAGCGCATATGATGAAGGCATATTATAAAGACAAGTGCTCGCGCAATAAATGCTTTGCATGGCAGCATATCAATTGTCAGGCGGAACAAAGCCGGAGAAGTCGCAAGAATTAAAACGCATCACAACAATACATTTGTTCACTGGTACAGAATTTCTCATATCAAGTGTCATATCATAATCCGCAAATCCATACAATAAACAAACTTCTTTTGATTGTATTTCCGTCCCTTGGAGATTGATTCACTGCCTAGCATTTCAGTGCCGCTAACCATTAGCGATTACAACTGCAATTATAAACCCGAAGCTTATCATGCACAACAAAGCTTACTGTGTGCTCTGCACTTGTCTTAGCTGGCCTTGATATGCACTTCATTTGTGCTTGGAGGCAACGTCTGCTCCACAAATTCGCTTTTCAAATGGAAAGCAGCTCATCGAAGCATCGGCTAAGCATTTAAAACACATTTCTCTAGGAACATCTTATATGTAAAATAGATGTACACATATGCCGACATGCACACCCAAATGTGTAAGTCAATTTCTTTGAGTTTTTTATGCCCTTGGACTTGATTACTGGCAACTGTATAAGCCCCCCGCAAGCTTATCAACACATGCAATCGGAGTGTTGGAAACGGTCGACCTCTTTGAATTGCAATAAGACAAGAGAAATCTTTGAAGAGACTTCAAGTCGAGTGGATTGTTGTGTTCTTTTGCATGTATACTTATATTGAGTTCACTTTTAATATTTTTTTTTTTTTTGTGTTTAATTTGTGTTTGTTTATAGTTTCCATTGCCTTTCGTTGATGTTTTCGTTCTGGATTGTCATTACGAAGGCGGCATCTGCGCCTTATTTTGACGCGAGAGGCCACCACCCATGCAGCCAGCCATATTGATATACTTATGTGATTAAGTACGCATTCCTTTTTCAACCCTGCTTTGTTTCATTTTCCATTTACTGATGCACGTTTTCTTCATAAAGTGTTTTATATCAATTTTTCGTTTTGTTTTGCATATGCAAATGCACACACAGCGCACACACACAAGCATTAAGTAAGAAACTGAAAATATGTTTACGTGTAAATTGCACTGTAACATGACATGTAAATCTGACAAACCATTTCCACACCCAAATGGAACTAAATACAAAACACAAATATAAAATCTTGAAGACATCGTCTGACTCATACACTTGGTATGTTTGGTAAGTCGCAAAACCTAAGCTTAAAACTTTGAATATAAATTCGCGAACAATGTTGTCACTTATAGTTATAGTTAATAATATGCAAAGACATTCTTACTTCAATGAATTTCTCCAGAATTTCTGCTTTTTCATCCGCCGATAAAGTTTTTGTAAATTTGTTTATTGATGCCATTTTGCTCCTGTTGTGGATCTTACACTATTATATTTTTTGTTTGTTTAAAATATTTCGTACTATAGTTTTACTTAGTTTACAAGTTTTATACTTTTATAGTATAATAATGAAAAATCTAATTTACAATAAAATAATTAAAACAACTTCTTTGCCACTTTCGCTATGTGACGCGTTTTCAAGACTTCTGCTTTTACTTCGTTTTCTTTAAAGCTGTCTGGAGTATTTTTGCACTTTCAAATATATATCAATAATTACTTAAAAATATTATGCACACAAATTAACTTCAATTAAATCACACTTTCTTAATTTTATTATGCGGAATTAAATTGAAAAGTTAAAATTCTACGAGAAACACAAGTTTAAGTCGACATCATCCGAAAACCCAAGCGTGCGAATAAAACCAATTTCCAAAGCTGTATGAGCTCCGACACTCATTTATTATTTATTTTACTGAGTGTTAACCAAAGCGAAACTCCTTAGCTCATTTCACTCTTGTATATTGAACTCGCATATCATATTTGGCTTATAACAACCCTGTCAAACGTGTTCATAACAGTGGAGGTTAAAACAGTTTAGCACTCGGTATTAATTCTATTTATTTACTGTATTATTTTTTGTACACACGTTTGTATTATTAATATATTAAAAACAAATTCTTAATTAATAAAATTAAGGTTTTAAGAATTAACACAAAAACATTTTAATCCAACACACATTTTAATGTAAAATAAAATTTAACATTTAGATTTCTAAAGAAAATTTGTTGCACAAAAAACACCTCTAAATATTACGCAGTCATATTAAATAATATTCGGTTATAAACAATAGAATCAGAAATGTTGATTTAAAATTTCTTAACTTCATACTTATGAGTTCTGATAAATCTGATTCTGTTCTTGATGCAATGTAATAATAAGACAACAATTTAAATACTGGTTTGATTATATAGATGTTTGCATTAAACGTAAATTTTCAAAAAAATTATATAATTAATAAACTAATTGGTTTGTGTTTGGAATTAATTGGTATCTCTACAGTATGAATTAATTTGAGTTAAAAATGAATAAAACATATAAGCAACATACTAGACATATTTATGTATATTATGCCCTAACAAATCAAACTGATTAGCTTGAAATATATAATTTTAATAAATAGACTTATATATTAAAATAAGTCAAAGATACATTATTATGCTATTTTAATTTATATAGAAATTAAGTAAACTTCACCCATAGAAAAAACTATAACTACATTATATAATACATGTATCTGTTGTTTATATATATATTATTCCAAAAATAATGATAAAAATAGTACACTTTATTGTTTTGAAAAATGAACAATCCGGTATAAATTGTATACTTTTAATCATCAATAAATTGATATATGATAATTTTAAAATGCTTACTGTTGGTCATTTAGTAAATTTTAGATGTAAAAGGTAAGATGTAAAACAATAAGTCTGTGTTGTCATGCCTGTGTTAAAAGAGTATAGTTATATTTCAGACAAAACAATGATGCCAGACTGCAATATGTTAAATAAAATATTTGAAAATGCGCTTTAATATATTCATTAATAGATAATAAAATAATAATTTTTAAAGTCATTAAAATACCTTAATTTTATTTTAATGCTAGAGATGAGTTTATTATTTCTGTCATGAACACAATATACATATAAAATTGGTACATAATGCCAAAGAGACAACAATAATGTCACGTGGCAACGCTTTATGCGAAAAGAATAACATTTGTATTATGTTTGAAGGTAAAAATTTCGCAGTGTATTGTAATATGAAGCCAATTATTTTGGATGCTAATAAAATTAAATTGTTTGGTGTGCATAGTGAGGAATTTCAAATAAAATCTTGAATCAATTTTGCAGAAATTAGAGTTTTTTTGTTGTAATAAATTTACCTCTCCTAAAAAGATCATTCAAAAAAGACAAAGTTGAGAATATTGTATAAACAGGAAAAGAATTAATAACATTGTTGAGTAAAGGGACAGGAAATGATGAACAACGGGTTTAGTTCTGGGGAGGAAGACTCTCGTGGAGGACATACCGATCAAACTTGTTGTCTGATTGATGACAATGAGCGGTGTCGAAATCCTGCTGGTTATGCGTCATATAGCAAACGCATACAGAAAACTGTGTCACAGAAACGTTTGAAATTAAGTAGCGATCCCACGGTAAGTAGGAAGAAGTTGAGTTAATTATGTTTTAAAAACTTACAATTTGTACCAGGCTCAGCATATATATATATGTGACTATCATAAGGGTAGAATACAATCTGCTCGTACTAAACGACGCCGGAAGGACTCTGAAGAAGATAGCAATGAGACGGACACTGATATGCCTGAAGTTCCCGATCTCTATCAACTTCAAGTGAATACACTACGTCGCTATAAACGCCATTATAAAGTGCAAACAAGACCTGGTATGAAACGCGCGCAACTGGCTGATGTAAGTATTGTAAAATACATAATACAAAAAATCTCCTGATAATGTATACTTTTAGACTATAATGAAACATTTTAAAACCATACCAATAAAAGAAAAGGAAATTATTACCTATTTCGTGTACATGGTTAAATCAAATGCAAACAAATTGGATCAGAAAAATGGTATTGGCAATGACACTACTTGATTGGACTGTTTTTCAAGCACAATCTGAGTACTGTGGTGCTGTAAAATACAAATACTTTACAACTACAATATATCATTTAAGTTTAAATATTCTTCCGATATTTTAAGTTAAATATTTAATGTTAACATAAGATGCAAAATAGTGTTAAGTTTTTATAATATGATACTCTAATATAAATGCATCTTATATCTAAAAGATATATTTAGTAAAACTACTGCTCATTTCCCAGTTAAAATACAAATTCAATAAACCGCAGAATACGATTAAAACTGTTTACCCTTAAATAAAAGCCGTGTTGCATGTAAGGTAAAATGTGATAAAGTAACTAATTTGTACAGAGTCATGAAATTTTATATCAATTAAGTCAAGTATTTCAAAAGAAATAATAAAAATGACATCGACTTTACAATACAAAACATTTGTTTGCATTAACATATCATATATCAGATCACCTGATATACGTTGAATAAATTTGACGCGTTCTTTTAAATTTATATATTTACTTTTTATTAATATTAAAGCCTAAAATTTAAATTTGAAAAATTATTTTAATATAACTGTTGTTTCCTCTTCCGAGTCACTTCCATCATCTTCTGAAAATAAAATTGTTATAATGTTATATGCGATACATAAAACATGTCCAAAATAGTATACCATTTGCTTTCTCCTTAGTTCCTTTAGTAATTTTTTGACGTAACTTGGAATATTTTGTTTCAAGGGTTTTAGTTTCACTTTTTTTCGTGGAAGTTTCGTCTGAGCTAGACACAATACATTCTATATCCGATTGATTCGATTGTAGCAAAGCTATGTCCTTTCCAAGTGAGATGACTAGGAATTTAAAGATATGAAAACGTGCTTTGTGAAATTTTCAATTTAATACCTTCTTCAAGAGTAGCATTATCAACATCGCTTGATTCGTCATACATTTCACTGTCATCATCATTAGACGATTCTGAGAAATTTGTTTCCATTTTTTTAACACCTGGGGCACTATATGTTGTTAGCGTTGCAATTACATGACCCGTATTCATCACTTCTTGTAAATTTAAAGTATCACTGAAACAAACTGTTTTCTTATCGGTTCTATTTGCTAAATCAGTTTCAACAAGTACTTTTATTTGTTCAATTATAGCTATACTTTTATCCGCAGCATTTTTTAAACATTTTACAAGAACGCGTGGGGCTACTTGTGCTGAACCACCCAGGTTAAAACAGCAAATTTCTCTATACGAATTTATTCCAAACACTAATTCGGATTGAGAAGCTCTCTCTTCCTGAAAAGTAGGATCCGCAAGAGTAATTTGTCCGTCATCAAATATGGCGTAAGTGACACAAATAGGATAGTGATGCAGTACCATTGGTATAAAATCTTTCTCAGACGCGGGATGTATGTTAACATCACCTTCGATTATGCTAACATCAGGACGCCTAAAATGAGCTAATGCAGCTACCGTACCAATGGCGCAAGCAGCTGTAAAATTAATAATGTAATAAAACTTAATGCTATAAACGTGAAAAGAAATTACCAGTCAAATTTCCATCGTGATTCAAAACATTTATATCAATTCGTAAAATCCACACGCACTCCTCTGCTTTCACACACAATGACTCTAAATCAACTGCTCCCGATTCCTTAAACGTTCGCTCGAGCATACTTTTTATTTTTAAAACTAGGCTCCCTTGACGGCCAATTTCGAACTGTGGAGAAGCCATTGGACCGATTTCCACGTTAATAAATAGAACACCTTCATTGGGTCTTGTAGCCTTTGGTACGCCTAAATCACATGATGCTTGCACTAGAACTTTGGTTTTACCTAAAGAAACCATCACACTTCCCCAATCGGCACCAAAATTAATTTTCATTTGGCGAAATTCATCAATTTTTCGACCATCAGGGCGCTGAACGAAAAGAAAAATTTGTTTTGTTTTGTTTATGTAGGAGTGTGTAGTCGTATTTACGTTATTTGCTTACCGCATTGGATTTTATTAGGTCGCAAATGAATTTGCGTTCGCGTTCTGTGTATAATGCGCAATGCAACATAATTTATTTAGATTATTAGAATTAAAGTTACTAAACTATAGACTTTCAATAAACAAATTTCAGGTTACGTTCGACCGGCACAGCAGTTCTGCTGAAAGTGAGTTGCCAACGTTTTGTATCTTATGCTGACATTTAAAATTGCGCTCGCTGTGTGTAAAAGAGGTATGCAATTTTTTAGTTTAACAGCTATGTTATCTACTTTTGAGGTGTATACATTGAAACAATTGAATTAAATTTTTAGTTGCGCTTTTATATTTCTAAATTCATAAATTTCTTCATACATATTATACTTTGTTATTATGAATATCAAAAATTATATTAGGGGTATTCACGATCTTTGTGCGTCGATGCGAATGTCAAATAAGTAGCTGTTACAAAAACAAAAAGCATTGAAAACGCATTAGCAACATCATCGCGCTTGTAATACCAAAACGATTTGGCGCATGCGAATGCATTAATTTGCAAGACGCTGATGTAAATGATCATAATGTTTTTTTAATGATGGGTAACACTTCCTTAATAGCTTGTGGAAACTGTTTTGGCATCATAAATGTTAGAGCTTTTCCGGATATTTAAATGGATCATATGTATTAATTACCCATTCTATTGTTGGTTGTAATAGTTTCAATGGATGTAGTTCCCTGTATATTATAGAGATTCGAAATCTACAGTATCATTACATGTTAAAAAATGGGCACTGATAAGATCTTCTAATAAATCTTGATGACTGCGAGTCTACTCTCTGTGTTTATTTTTTTTTTTTGATACGTATTATTTCTGGCATATTTGATTGTCTAGATAATAATTTTTTCGGCCTAGTTAGTAACTTCGTTTGTTTTTTAAGATGGATTATATTTTTTCACCTAATACGGCATTTACATTGGCCGAAAATGGCTCATTTTGGACAAAAATCGAAAATGAGAAGCGAATGGCTCATTCTTGCATATAAAATTTCAAACTCTCATTCCCATTTCATTACATTCTTTATGAATGCGTCCCAACGACGTTCGCATGCGTTCCAAATATATTCCAAATACAAAGGAATACATTGAACAGACCCTAAATAAAGGCTCTTCATGCCATTTTGACAGTTTGAGGAAACTGTTTTTGACATATTTACAAAAAAAGGTAAACAAATGTTTGGTGGTTGGATTTTCTTGAAAACGCTGCACCTCTTTTTAGAACTTCTACTTCCCAAAAAGTAATTAATCGAAGTTAAGAATATGTTTAAAGTTTATTTTGTAAGGTTTGAAAGCATATTTAACCTTCATGCCACATTTTTTTGCCACAGGCCAAAAATCAAATCAACAGACAAGTTGAAAAATCAGCTGAGAATAAACGAATTACAACGAATGTAAACACTTTCAAATGGCTCATTCAAAATGAGACATTTTCGGCCAATGTAACCGCCATATAAGATTGAATGTAATATTAAACTTTAATCGATACTGTTCGTAGTGCTATTTGTTGTTTTATCTGAATGAATTTATTCATAAGTAGAACAAAGTTGGTCCAATTTATGTTGGTTCTGGTTTATTACTTTTCGATCAATTTACGTATGCATGACAGCGTAATACTTTGTTTGCATTCTCTTTTCAACTTTCGCAAAAATATATAAGAATATATACATTTCTCTGTAATAATTGGTATACCAGCCACACAAGCTGTTGTTGTTGCCATCGACCGGGTTACCTTTCAATTGACCGTCGCAGTTGCTCAGTATTTAAGGATGTAGCTTTTATTTACTGTTTCATTTCTTTATTTGTTTTCGTCTTCTGTGTGGTTTGGCTTGTTTGTAAGTCGATCGTAGACTACAACCGAAACCTTTTAAGGGAAGTTTCCATCCTTTCTTACAGGGCTTCGTTCTCCTCAATTTTTGATTACTAAAATATGTTTTTGGACTTGGTGGAAAACTTGGAAGAGTGTCTCCGATGGTAATATTTTCTCTCGCACCACTTTCAAGGCCCGAACTTGATGTATTTGGACCGGCGACAGTAGTTGCCAGCTGTCCCAAAGACATTTGTAATATTATCACAGATTGTTTCATTAATTGTTTTCAATTTGGGTTTGTTTTCGAGGGCTCTACCCCTATTGCTTTATAATTGGGAGAAGATATTGGAATGGTTGTAGATAGTAAATAACTGGCATTCTCCGTTTCAAAAACCTTGCCATTGACCATCAGGTGGAGGGAGCACTTGACAGAATATCACTTGAGAATCTAATGAAATTCTAAGATCCCTGTTTAAAACTATAACTACTAAAAAATATTTTAAAACAGGTCGCATCTTTTTAATCACATTCAACATATTTAAAGACTTACTTATTGGTCTTTTGATTTACTTATTGAAGTTATGTTTCAAAATGAGTACCATTTCATATTAACGGAAGGGTTTTTGAATCTCCTGGATTCTTTTGTGAAGTTGTCGGTTTTGATACATTCTGATGTCTTTTTGCAAGTGTACAACTGAACAATGCATCTTGAATACCATTATTTTTATAGATGATCCTTATTTATCTGATAGAAATACCCTTCAGATTTATGTTGTATATTTGCATTCGGAAAGTGTCAACAAATCTATCATTTGGAATCTGAGTTGCATAGAATGTAACTTATTATGTAAAATTTGAATAAAAACTATTCTTTTTGAATATATATTCAGTATTTTCAAGATCGATTATCTAAACAAGTATTTTATATGAAAAGAAATCAAACCGATATTAGTAATGAAAATAAAAACAGAAATAACTGCAATATATGGTTTTTTCCAGTCTATATACCTACATAGAGACTATATGCCATTGTGCCCACACTGCTTACAGTCTGGTCTAATAAAGTCGAATACAACAACAACAAACCTTTCTGTGTATTTATCAACTCGATGTAGAGCGATGTACGGTGGAAATGAGAGTGTTTATTCTGATAGCGCCTACATGACTTTCCAAAAATAGTTCTTGTGCCAAAATATTTGTTTTCGACTTTATCAAATGTTTTAAATAAAATTTTAAATATTATGTATTTAAATAAATTAGGAATCTTTTTAATCATGCAGAAAACATGTATGTTTTTTATTCATAAATCAGGCGCACTGATCAGGTATTTATTTGGTTAATAATTTAACAAAAATTCTATTTATCTAATTATCTGTTAAAATCATTTACTTATATTATATTATATACAGGAATCTTTTTGATGCATATTTTCTTAGTAATGAAAAGCATTTTAATTAGATTTTATTTACAATATTTACAAAAAAATCAAAAAAATAGAAAACAATCACTATATATTTTAATGGTTGATTTTATGAAAGTTTTCGTAATAATAATAAATAAAAAATTTTTCTTTCTTTCCGAAGTTCAATCATAATATAGTTTGTTTATATATTTATAGGTAAGATAACAATATTTTAACTAAGGGACAAAAAGGAATTTGAATACTTAAACTATTTTTAAAACTATTATTATTTTTTTATGTTTATACTTTTTATTTGTAATAAATAAATAAAAAACAATAAAATATTTTAATTAAATGAACAAAGTTTGTTTTTAATTAAAAATGTTAATTAAACAGCTTTATACTAATATTTTACTTTTCAAAAAAATTTACAACTAAAAGCATTGATTAAACCATTGAAACATTTTAAATAAAAACAAAAGATTTTTTAGTTAAATAAAGTGAAATAACAATAAATGTTTTAATAAATTATTTCTTCAATTTCCCAACTATTGGCAATTATTCAAATTAGAATAATTTAGACTTTTGGGAAGAAAATCATTTTACATTGCCTAGAACATCGACAATTTAAAAGCAACAAATGTCTTCAAGCAATTTAGTATTTTAATTTTGTTTTGCAATTATTTGCATATTTGTTTATTGCATATTTTATTTAATTAAAGGCTTAAAAAGTATACATACAGTTAATTAACGAATATAAGTGGGTCAAATCGTACGAGAGTTCCAAAATAAAAAGTTTCAAACTTTATCGTCATTATGAGTTAGAATTCATAAAATATACTTTTGTATTAAATTTTTCAATAATTTAAAAATTGTAAAATAATTATAAGAAAAATAAGAGAATAAATTACATTTATATATAAGAAAATATATATATTATCAAAATAGATGCATCTAAAAATAAATTCATAACATTAATACATACACAAAAGCAGGAATGTGCACATCTGCCTTCATTCATATATATAAATATATGTACTGTAATTGTTTAAATATTATAAACTATTTACGTTTAATTTTTCATATATATATATTATTTTTTTTTAATTGAAGTACGTATTAGTAAATTATTTTCGAAGAGTAATAATTGATAAAGGCCTAAACCCTTTGAATTCATTTATATATCTCATATTTTTTCAAGTTCTAAGCCATGATAATGTACTCATACTTATGATACACACATAAATACTTATGCATATAGTTGTACGGATTTCTAGACCGGCATTGAGTACGGACGCAAATCTCGTTACAACTTATGTAATGATTTCATTTACAGAAAATTGTTCGAAAATTGTTATTAATTGTGGAAGGAATATTTATAAGTGTTATAAATTGAAAATAGAAACCTTTTTAAACGTTTATATTACGATTTTGTTGGGATTTGAAATTGTTAGAGAGATCTAAAAATATATCATTAATATGTTTATAGTATTAAAAATATGCAAGTAAATTATATAGTATAGTTGCAACAGCAACTATATATATATACATGAACGAATAAGGGAAGCCAAGATTCAACTATATATACATGAACGAATAAGGGAAGCCAAGATTCAACTAGGATCGTTGCGCTATTAATGATGATAATATCAATGCATTATAGGTATAACAAATACTAAAGAAAAAAAAGTATTGGTTACAGAGGCTCTTCAGTCTATTAATTTTAATTTGAAAATCAACTGCTAACCACAAATGATTAATCTTTGAAGGAGTAACTTTCGATTGAAGCAAGTAAAGAAGTTAGAAATTATTTTTATATATGCAGTCCCACGCACAAAGTACAAGCGTAGAAAGTAGTAGGTGTATTTTATTTGAAAACCTCTTTCCTCTCACCGCGCTCTATAGGATACATTTGTGTATGATCTTTAAATTGAGCGTAGAACAAATTGTGCACAAATTTCATAGTTGCAGATCCGTGTAAAAATTAACAAAATTAAAATTAAAAAAAAAAACAAATTTTTTATGAAGCAACAATTTTGATGTGAAATGATATCTCAAATGCAACAACAAAAGCACTGTCAACATCAACAGAACAACAGGAACTTGGCATACCCGCACAACAGCGAAATTTTATTTCAATTTAAAAATGTATTCGGGGAGCAAAAGTAATCGGAAACGTTGGGGGAATATGGTCAAAAAGGCAAATTTTTGTTTAATAAAAGTTTATATTTCATATGAAATGTTTATGAAAGCACTCTTGCTTAATGGTCTTCACCTACCACCTACCACCCATGTACCCTCGTTCCATTGATGGTCATTATCATAAATGTAGCTATCTTCCTTTCACTTTAGCGAGTTCAAATCAGCGAGTATAAATCAAAGCTCTTTCGTTTGCACAATTTTCTCTCACGAAAATTTTATGCGGTGTAGTGGTGTATGTGAGTAGTACAGGATGGTGCTTATGTGTTAGTAGGAAAATTTGAAATTTTCATTTTCAAAAAATTCTTTAACATAACGTGTTGTTTCTTATTGATCGTCAGTCTGTTTAGTCGAACCGCAGCATTCGCTCCAACGACGTCAGCTGCTCGGACTTTTGAAGAGAGTTAAATTTGTTTCTTTCCCTAAGTAAGTCAGCAGTTAAAATATTAAAGAAAATCAAACGTTAAAAAATTAAGATCCTTGTCAAAGTAAAAATATCATTTATGGAAAAATTTGTTTATATTGAACAAAAAACGTTTAATTATATAATCGTATATAACAAAAATCGTTAACAAAAATATCTTGCGAAGGATAATTAAGGATACTAAGTGTTAATATGAATAACGAAAATAAATGAGTGATATTTGGAGTTTAAACTTTATTTCGCATCAAAATTTAATAAACTCTTTTAATATTTTGTACGTTGTATCGACATAAATTTTAATCTAAAAATAGTATCTGTTCATGAGCTCAGTGTGTTACATGATATAGATTTTAATATACTACAGAAAACGACGCACAGATCGTAAAGACTTAAGCATGCAGAAAAAATACTAAAGTATTTAAAAATAAAATTTTCTTTACTTCGTGCTTTCGTGTTAGAAAAACTCACAGTGCCCAACAATTCGCTACAGCAAAACGAAAGCAACAGCATCAAAAATTGCGTAAAAGTGTTAGCATTGGCAATATTGTGCAGTGTGTATGTGTGCCTGTGTGTGCGTATACGTGAAATGATCATCAAAGCTTGTGTAACTGGTGAACATTTTACACTAAGCGTGACAATATATGTACGATTATTTTCCGGATTTAACCATAAATTGTCTAAAGATGACTACAATAAGGAAAAAATATTATAGTGAAACTATGCTAAAGAATTAAAATCAAAAAGCTGCAATTGGATATAGCAGAAAGCTTTTTTGCAACAGTAGTCTAAAATGAACCGCAACTACAATTGTGGCGCAGCTCCTTTTGTGTTTGGATAAATATGTTACGATAAAAATTATGATAAATTCACAAGCGAACACACATACACACTTTACATATCTATACAGCTTTTTAGACTCCCACACTTAATATTAAAAATACAGGTGTTACGCACGACACCAAAGCAGCTTTTATGCACCACCAACACCAACACCAACACAAACACAAACACAAGCGCCAACGCACTCAATTGTTGGCATTTGAAACTGTTTTATACTAAAAGAAAAATATTAATAATACAATAAAAATCCTTTTTTCGCTGCTAACACATTTACTGACATTTTCGAATGTGTAACTGTGTTGGTACTAATTTGATACTGCACAGTAAAATAACAAAACAAAAATATATGAAAAGTAAAGAATAATGAAAACTAAAGAGGAAAATGAGAACAAAAACAAAAGTATATTCAGCAAACTTAATGCTTTGAAGGTTACATTGTTAAGGAGGTGCGGGTTGTAGGTGTACTGTTGTTATGAATAACAGATTTTGACAGATTAAGGCTTATACATACGATTTATACGATTTAGGTAGGCTGGTGCATACAATTTATACCAAAGAAGTAAGCAACCGTGAATGTATCTACTAAGAAACTGTTATTAAAAATTTTATTTTTTTGATAAAAAAACCTATTTGCACAAATGACGTTGGTACTCGTTGTGTTCTCATAACACAATACTTGCACTTCACCCACACTAGTTTGAGTTAGTTTATCATCACCGGAACACGCCTTACTGACACATTCTCACTCATTTTCATATTTGTATTTGTATTAGTATGCCAAGGTAAAAAGCTCTTTGTTGAGCGTAATATGCGGCGCTCTCTCAAGGAAATTTAATACGATCTATTTTTAATTATGAACACACACACACACACACATATACATATATATATATACATATTTATACATGTTCTCTTCTGGCATCATATCCCTTTTTGGCTGCTTAAGCTATAATTTTAATATGGAATGTTATCATAAATAAATATTTTCTTTTTGCTTTTGTTTTAATTTTTCTTACATATTCGCGAACTATTCTGACGTTCTGTTTTTAGTTTCTTTAGTGGAAAATATTTTAATTATATGAAAATGTAAGAAAACTTATTGGGGCCACATTTAAATATTTATGTTATAAATATATTTTGAAAGACACTAGAGACTTGAGACAAATTTATTCTAAACAAAACGTTTATTTTTAGATAAAAATGTTTACAGACGGAAAATGTCTTTATTAGTAGTTTGTTCATAAAAATATACAATATTTTCAAAGAAATTATTTTAAAATTTTATAACATCTTCGCCTTAAGTTTTAATAAAATTTATTGAAAACTGTTTTTTTGAAAACAAAAAAAATTTGTATACAATACTTTTATAACAACATTTTGATAACATTTTCTATTGACTGTCAAGATTCACTGATTAATTTTTAGAAACTCAATTTAGACATAAAATTTAGCAGTCTAGCAAACGGTAACCTATCAAAAAAGAATTTTAAAATATTGCATTATATATTTGCTATACATTAGACTTGGTTGTAATGGCTATCCACAGATTTTTTTTTGTTGACATATTATTACAACTATTTACATTATAAACAACGAGTAGCATTTCGCCGTTTTAGTCGTCTTGGTTGTCCATACGAGTTTATGATGTTAACAGCTTCTGTGCTTACATGTTGCTGCAATCTCAGTTTGTGATATGTTGCTTTCTTTTTCATTTCTTCAGCGATTGTGGAGAATTTTAGATCGCGGTGTATATCGCTGTTCCCAATGTACCATAACGCTTTTAAAACGCATTTAAATTTTTATACTATTTTTTAATATACCTCAGATTGAGATTTTTAATGAGATTTATACATATGAAAACAAAACCTATACCTAATACCTTTTAATATTACAATAAAATGTGAAAAAACTTCACACATTCAGAAAATAACTAAATATTTAACAAATAATAATTAAGTTAATGTTTGTATTTTCAGGTTTTTTAATCCCAAACCATAACCATGTCCGATGAAGAGGAATACACGTAAGTTATTTACTAAATTTTAATAAAAACAAAATAAATACTTAAAAAAAATAAATTCACATAATCTCTGCCACATACACAAATTAAAACAGAAAAAACAAACATTTTTTTCTGGAATGTTTTAAAACAAAAAAGTTACTGTTTAGTTTACTCTTTATTAAATTTAATAATTTAAATTATTTGTATTTTTTACAGTTTCATAATTTTTGTTTTTTAATAAAAGTGTTTGTGGTTAATTATGGTATGAGTTCACAGTGCAGACACTGTGTTTTTCTACTGAAAATTAATATATAATTCAAATTTTAAGCAATTCATCTAAAAATCTCTTAATAATATGACTTTGATTTTAATATTAAAACCAATCTCTTTTAATATACATAATGTTTTTCTTTTCATATATTTGTACTCGATAATAAATATATATATACACACGTGTCCTGTCCTTTGTTTGAACCCTTTTCGTACCCCATTCACATCTGTTTTCATTGACATCAAACAATGTTCTATGTTTAAATGCACTCACACAGTTCTGAAGAGGAGGAGGAGGAGGTCGTCGAGGAGACCAGAGAGGAGACGTAAGTATTACTAAATTTCATTTCTAATACAATAATTCTTAATACTTAGAATCCGCTTTATACCGATTAACATGCAGGGTAACAAAAAAAATTTTAACAAAAATATATAAACAAATTGAAACAAAATTTACTAAAATCCAAAAATCCAAAAATGTAACAAAGTCAAGTAATAAAACCCAATCGGCAAGTCACAATTAATATGAGAACTTTCCTTCCTGGCACTAGAAACTCCTTTTGTCAATTTCTTGAAACTACTTGTATGTAATACATTTTGTTTTATTTTTCTTTTTAATTACAGGAAGTAAGTTAAACACACTTTGCCATTATTAGCAAAACTTGATTTGTTTTCATGAGCAATAAATACACTCGTAAATAGCCAATAAGCAAATTTTCATTTGTAATTTAAATTGGCGAGAATTTAAATTAAATTTGAAGAAGGACAATCTCTATTAAGTACAGCAGCGAATTTTCGATTAATTCAAATTATAAAAGCACTCCTGCATTATAAAACAATAAACGAAGCTTCAATTTAGTTAAATATTTTTCAACTATAAATACATTTTTTGTTAGATAAGGATTTTTTATTGATGTAGTTAATGTTCATGCGAGCACTGAAGACATATAATGTAAAATTATAATTTTATTGCGTGGTGAATTTATTTTTTAACACTAACAATTCTACCTATGAAAATATAGACTAAGTCATTTGTGTGATTTGCATAATACGTCAATAATTGCATTGGCCATACTATAGTTACTACTTAATCAGAAACACTTCTTAACAGATTTAACAATGAGTTGTTTATATATGAGTTATTTATATATTGAATTAACTTAGTGTCTGGGCTAGAAATATGTATATAAAAATCCACGTAGTTCGAAGACTATAGACACATATTTGAAAGATATTTAAGAAGAGTTGAAGTCAAGGAGTCAATTTTACAATACAAAAGTTTTATTAATTTATAAACTATAGATATATAGTTAGTTAATATTTATGAAGCACTAAAGTCAGAGACATTTTTAAAAACAAATATTTTAATTTTGAACTCTGGTTATATTTAATCGTAAGTTCGCTGCTGTAATCCGTGTTCAGCGATCGTAAGCGAAAAGTGATGAATCAATATATGTAAAATAAAAACACATTCACATAAATACAAAAATAAATTACATGAACATGATACATTATTTATTAGAATATTATATTATATTTAAATTTAACTTTACTTTAAATTTAATTGTTTTGAGAGTTATTTGAAGCTCATTTGTATAAAATGCCATGAACTGTTTTAGTTACACCAACGCATCGATAAATATAGATTTTGTATATGCACTTGTGTATGGTGACATACGCGGTCGTGTATATACGAGATATAATGCTAGTACTAGACTTACATATATACTACATACACATTAAATAGTTTAATAATTGTAAAAAGCTTATAGTTTTGCATAGAAATTAAATTAGTTTAAGCCTTTTTTAAGCATTTGTCACATTTTTTTAAACAATGATTTTCTCTTTCTTTTCGATGATTTTTTTGCTAAAAACAAAAAATAAATATTTTTGTTGAAAATGTATAAAACCAAATAAAATAACGAATATGAACATGTTTTTGTGTTGACATTGCTGTGGAATTATGAATTTTTTGAAACACAAACCCTCCATGTTTGCAATGCCTTACGAATAGAAAACCACCTCAAACACCAGCCGAGTAAGTGATTCATGAAATAGAAATATAAAAATACATATAAAAAATAAATTTAAACTAAAACGAGAGAAATTAAACAATTTAAATTAAACTTAAACTTAAACTTAAAATTAAAATTAATATAATTATGTGAAAGTAATTATGTTGTAAATGGTTGCGAGTAAAAGCCTCAGCAGAATTAAAAGATAAGCTAAAAGCTAAAGTAAAGTCAATGTAACAAACCGAAACGAAATTTAAAGCCTCGCAGTGGGTTGCTTCTGCAAATGATGATATATGTATATTTGAATATTTGAATATTTGAATATTTTTATATGAAATGTCATCATTTTCAAAATAACCCCAAAAACCAATTAAAAATATTAATCACGCAAAAAATGAAGCTTTTGTATATCAATTAATTATTTGTCCAATTTCGAAACGAAAAATTTGAAATAAAAATTTAAATATAAACAAAATAATTTCCTTTTCGGACTTTAACTGAATGGAAAGAAATGCGTAAAGCTTCATTTCATAAAATAGTAATTTGTATCTGCTTAATATTGTTACTACTCAGAAATCAATTTTGTTTGGAGCAACTTCTCAGTTGTTGTATGTCCTCATGCAAAACATCCTTAGTTATATTTTTGATTTGATTTTGTTTTTCTTAACACACTTGTGAGTATAAGCATTTATGTACATATTTACATACAAAAACATGCATACATCCTCGTGCCGTAGACACCAGCTCGTAAATAAAATCGTTGCACAGTTAGCTGCGCTCTGCTGTGTGACATTTCCGGTACCGGAAGCATACGGGATTTTAAAATTATTGCTTTCATTTGTCCAACAAAGCCTTTTGTAAATATAATTATCCAATCAAGCGACCTATCACCTGCCTTTTTAAGCTTACAAGTGCATATTTACGAACAAATAGAGTCGATAAATGGTCGTGGTATCTATTTTCAAAAATTCCATCTATTGAATCTGTAAGCGAAATTTTGTTCTTATATTTGCACTCGTAAATTCCTGTCAAGGCTCAGAATAACCGAATTCATTCATTTAAGTATTTCACAGTGTTGACGTTGTTATGCTTTGGTTGTATTTGTTGTTGAGTTTAATGTTTGATATTGTTGATATTGTTGAAATCGTTTTCCCTTTAGCATATAAATTTCTAATAGAATAATTTTTTCTGACCAAAATATGTGTAGTTGGAAAAAATTTTAAAAAATATTTTATTTTGTATGCTAACCTCGTAATTATCCATTAAATATTATAATTGTAATAAAAGTCACCTTTACTAAAGTATGTATAAATATAGTATTAAGCTCTAATATATGGTTTCTAGTACAATAACTTAAAATGTATTTTCTTACAAAAAAACACTTTCTACTATAACTTAATACTTCTTAATACATTTCTTACATATATGTAGTATTTTCATAAGATATTTAAAGAGACTAATTGACCTTTTTTATCCGTGATTATTTTTTTAACATAACAGAGGTGAGGGTGATCCAGAGTTCATCAAACGTCAGGATCAAAAGCGTTCCGATCTCGATGAACAGCTGAAGGAATACATTCAAGAATGGCGCAAACAGAGAGCCAAGGAAGAAGATGAGCTGAAAAAACTCAAAGAGAAACAGGCTAAGCGCAAGGTCACTCGCGCCGAAGAAGAACAAAAGATGGCACAACGCAAGAAGGAAGAAGAAGAGCGTCGTGTGCGCGAAGTTGAAGAGAAGAAACAACGCGAAATTGAAGAGAAACGTCAACGTCTCGAGGAGGCTGAGAAAAAACGTCAAGCTATGCTTCAAGCCATGAAGGACAAGGACAAGAAGGGACCCAACTTCACTATTGCCAAGAAGGAGGCAGGCGTGGTAAAGATTAAGAATATTTTTAATGCTAAATAATTACGTGTTGCTTTTTATTTTCTTTCCTCCTTTTTGTCCAAAACGTACACATATTACTTGCTAACATTCTCTTCTGTTTTCTTATTTCACCGTTCATGCTTTCTCTATTATGTTTTACATTGACATTTACATTTTCCTTTTGACACAAATTACACTGCATAAATTACCTCAATGCTTTCAAATGTTTTCAAATCCTTTGAAATGCTTTCAAAATGCGAAAACAAACACAAAACACAAAACATGCATTAAATACACTGTTTCTTTTCCTTTTTTCTTACTTTCAACACATTATTGCTTGCATTCTTCTCGGTTTATTCGTGTGTATGCGTTTATGTACAAATAGTTGGGGCTTTCATCCGCCGCCATGGAACGTAACAAGACTAAGGAACAATTGGAGGAAGAAAAGAAAATCTCACTGTCGTTCCGTATTAAACCCCTCGCAATTGAAGGTTTCAGCGAAAGCAAATTGCGCGAGAAGGCTCAAGAATTATGGGAACTCATTGTCAAATTGGAAACTGAGAAATATGACTTGGAAGAAAGGCAAAAACGTCAGGATTACGATGTGAGTTTATAGGTTTATCACATTTCTATTATTATCAATTTTACACTAAATTTAATTGCAATAGTTGAAAGAGTTGAAGGAAAGACAGAAACAACAACTCAGGCATAAAGCCTTGAAGAAGGGTCTTGACCCTGAGGCTTTGACTGGCAAATACCCGGTAAGTTGTGATTTTTTGAAATTGTCTCTACATGCTCCATCAATAATTTTCTTCATTTGCTTTATTTGCTATCATTGCAGCCCAAAATCCAAGTAGCCTCCAAATATGAACGCCGTGTTGATACCCGCTCATACGATGACAAGAAGAAACTCTTCGAAGGTGTAAGTATTTAACGAATATATAAATTGACAGACATTTCAAGAAAAGACCTGTTAAGTAATGTGCACTATTCTGAGAAAATATAAAAATATTTCTTTTAATATCAAAGGGTTACAACACAATTTACGCTGAAAGCGTTGAAAAAGTATGGCAAGAGAGACAAGAAAGATTTATGCAACGAACAAAATGTAAGCTTCCTCCATTTTGTTTGACTCGTAAGAAAAGTGAAACTTGCAAGTTTATGTTTGCCTTCCACAACTTCTCTGTCTATTTTTATGTTGAATGTTTTCGATTTATGTTTCAAGTTTTCTACGCCCCAAGGATAGGAAAAGTTATTTGTTTAATTGTTTTTGTGCCAAATTCCATACGTCGCATTCACAATGTTCTCTGAAACTGCTGAACACAGATTCTTTTAACTTTCTGATATGCGATGATTAATTCTCTAACAAAATCATAACAAATACACAGAATATTAAATACTATGATTCACTAGAATTAGACTGAGAGGAATTATTGAATTATTTCTCAACTAATCTTTAACTACTGACTGCAAAAACATAATTTTATCTAAATCGTAGTCTTAAGTGCTGTTTATTAACTATAGAAATTAGAGGATTTAAATACATAGAAAAAGTAAAAATGATCCGGATTAAAACGAAAATAGCAGTTATTATATACAATATATACACGAGTACATATATATATATATATACAATAATATACATAACCCACAAACTAACTTTTTGTTTCTATCCATATTTCTGTCTCTTTTATTTTCGAAAATTGCTGTTGTTGTTTCATTTAATTGGTGAACTTCAAACTTAAAACATTGCTCATTAGGGCTGGGATGAAATCAGCAAGGACATAAATGAAAAGATCTGGAACGAAAAGAAGGAGCAATATGTTGGCCGCCAAAAATGTATGTATTAAAAGCTAATTATTTCTCTGAATTATGCTAATCGAATGCTTACCTTTTTATCAACTGTTGTAAATTGCAAGTTTCAATTATAAAAACTAAAAATATATACATATGTATATATATATATAGAAGTTATTTATGTAATCCTAATTTGATATTATTATTATAGCCAAATTGCCAAAATGGTTCGGCGAACGACCAGGCAAAAAGTCTGGTGAACCCGAAACACCAGAAGGTGAAGAGGATGCCAAGGCTGATGAAGACGTCGTCGAAGATGAAGAAGTTGAAGAGGAGGTTGTAGAAGAAGAAGAAGAAGAAGAGGAGGAAGAAGAAGAGGAAGAAGAAGAAGAGGAGGAGGAAGAGGAAGAAGAGGAAGAAGAAGAAGAAGAGGAGGAAGAGGAAGAAGAATAAATTAATTTTTAACTACTTTTAATAAAAAATTTATTAAAAACTATATGGTTATTATTAGCTTATTCGACTTATATTTTTTTTAACTAAGAAAATAATTTCATATTTCTCCAATAAATAAGTTAAATGGGAAAATCATTTTTCCACTAAATATTGTAAATGAAACTTTTCTCTCACCAGCACATAAATATACACGTACACAACTCTCTCTATCTCTCTCTCTCTGTCTTGTTCGTATTAGAAAAATAACTAAACAACTTTAATCAAAGAGTGAAAAATTAAAAAAACTATTGTTAAAATTATTTGTAATAAAATATACAACTTAAAAAATAATGATTATTTAAAGTTTGAAACATCAAACAAATAAACTCTCTCTCGATATTCCTTTTTTTCATTTAAGCTATTTTCTTATTGATATAAAACAAATAAAATTAAAACTAAAATAAAACAAGTCCTTGTGCAACCTTATTCAATTCTGCCTAAGTTAATCTACAATATATTTGAGTTGGAATAAATAGTTATATAAAATTTAATTAGACAGTAATACTGATCAAATCTATCCGATTTGGATGGATTTAGTTTTCGACTGATATTCTTTAAAAAGAATTCATGTGCGTAGTAAATTCACATTAGATATGGTGTGACAGTGCGTATGAGTTACATTTGATTATTTATTTACAATATATACTCAAAATACATTGTGTTTTTGTGTTTAACCTATTTGAGGGTCTGAAAATGTTACTTAACTATGTTATTTTCATAGCTTTTTATGTGTAAAATCTCGACTACATAAATACTTTTATAAGTACCACGATTTTCATATTATGCAGGAACTACGAAATAATCTAGAAATAATAATTTATTTTTCATTTTTTTTTTGTTATTAGTTAGCCATTGATTGTTTTTACTGTAACTAGCATTTTATGTCTTGGGTTCCATTTCATATTACTCACATTTTTATAATCGAAGTAATTTTATCTTAAATACATAGATTTTTAAATATTTCCTTTGTAAATTACTATGTATATAGTAATTTTAAGCTCTGCATAAACTTATAATGGTTACCAGAAGGACGTTCAAAACTGCAAAAAGTATTAATTAGGAAAGTGAGTATAAATTTCAGAAATAGCGACTTCCTTTTAACGTCGTTATCATTTTGGTTGTCTTTAGATTTGTGTGCATATCTTAAATTAAAATCTTAACGACTTTTCTGCAGTATCCGTTTCTAGCACTTGAACGAATTTCTGAAATATCTTGTAGGTCAATGAGGATGAAATCGAAGAAATATTTATATAGATTCAGGAGCAACACTGCTCATATATGTAGCTGTGGGTGAATGGATTATATGATTCCGCAGTAAATTCGCAAGCTCAGTGTTTTTACGCACTTGTTCTTTCAGTTTCTACTAACATCCAGCAGTAACAACACGCGTTTGGAAAAATGCATTTGTTTCAATTAAAAGTATCACAGTTTAGTCTATTTAAGTATTTTCTTTAATTCAGTGTTCACACTCACACAGTACATATATAAGGATGCGGTCTGCTTCTGCCAGACCTGTGCCACTCATGACTTGTTGAAGTTTATTTATGGCTAAGCATCTTGTTAAGTAAACTCAAATGACACTGCTATTGCTGTTGCTGTTGCTATTGCTATTGCTGTTGCTATTGCCACTAATTCTGTTGCTGGCGGTGGCATTGTTGCGTCAGTAGCGTCTAATCGTTCTCATCTTATTTGTAACAATGCTCATGTGCTCATAAGTATCTTGTGTTGTGTAGGTGGCAAGTAGTAGTAGTAAGTGGTAACTGGTAAGTGGATGTGCAGCTGTAAATATTTTGAACCCATTTACTCCAAACCAATATTTAAATTTATCGCATGGGGACAATTTTAATGACGTTTTCTGTTTTCCATACTTGCTTGATTCACTCGCTCTTGCATTCATGCATGTTGCTTGAACGTTGTTGGCTTTTGGTTGTTTGTAGTTTGATATTGGATGTTGGTTGTTGGTTGTTAGCTGATGTTACATGTTAGATGATTGTTGTGCATATTTAAATTTTCCAATAATGGAAACATATACAAATACAGTTGTGCTATACTGAACAATGTGTATATCTTCGATATTAGATGGAACACAAGCGCAAAACAGAGAGCATAGCGCAAAAATAGAAAGTGACTTGACCTCATTTGCACCACAACTGACTGATATTGTGTACTGGCTTGTTTGTGTGTCTGCCTGTCGTAGTCTATTAAAATATGATGAGTGGCAAAAGGAAAGATGTTTATAACAAGATAATGAATACTTATGGCGCCTTCCCGCTTAACTTATTTGCACAAAAACATTTTTTTTCATATAAATCAAGTCGAGTGAATCTTAAATTTGGAGTGTTTATTGAACTGAAAAACTTTTGTTTTCAGCTCTAACTTTTCGGTCAATTTTTTAACTTATTTTCAATGTGAAATCAATAGACTTGAAAAAAAGTTTTAATTTTTATTTATTAGCATCTTTTCTGGATGCTGTGATTTTTATTTCACTTAGCTAAGTTTTGTTTTTTATTTGTGTGCTAGAAGGCTTTTTAAATGACATACCTAATATGTATAGGAGGAATGTGAATGAAAAGAAGTGAAAAATATTTTGTTAAACAAACGAAAAGTTTTGAATTTCTCACAAAAAAGGAAAATTATGCGCATACAAACAATGCCACGCTCTAAACGTTTTTTGTCCTTCAGTTCCAAGTGCTTTGGAGATAAGATTCCATCCAGAAAAAATGTGGAGAGAAACTCTGTGTTTAACAATGCGAATGCAATGCTTGATATGCTTTCCCAGAAATTCGAGTTACTAACTTTTTGCCGTATGAAAAAATTTAACATGTTGAAAGTATAAAATTGTAATCTTTTTTTTTTAATAAAATTAAAACAAAAAGAATTTCTTTTGAACATTTTCATTGAGTTAAAAATTATGTGATTATTATATTATATTGAAGTAATATAGCTAATTGATGTATTATATTCATCCTCAAGCAAAATATTAACTTTTCATGTTTGAAAATATAAAAGTTCTTAAACGGTTCTCTAGTATTTATTAATGGATCATTGTGTACCGCTTAAGATTTATGAGAACGAAATAGGAAACAGCAGAAAAAGAGGGCGACAAAGAAAACGATGAAAACACAGTGTGCAGCAGGACTTAAAAGAAATAAACTTAAGAAATTGGAAAAATAAGCAAAAAACAGAGAAGAATGGAAGACTGTTGTTACACAGGTTTAGGTTCTACATGGACTGTATAGTCACAGATAATGATGATGATAAAGGATCATTATATATTTTAATATAATTGAGTTTTATTTATCTACATGGATATACTGAAATGTATAATATATAATAAATTTAAGAAATTTCTAATAAAACAATTTAAATAAAATAAATTTTAAATTTATATAAAATGAAATAAATAAAATAAATTTAAATAAAATTTTTATATATATATAACAAAATACATTGTAATTTTTGAAATTAAAGTTGATTTTATTTATCTCGTAGTAATAATTCAGTATTTATTGAATTTGAAAAAAAATGTTCAACTACATAATAAATCTCTACTCTCCACTGATTTATTCAACCGGTGGTTAACTTGGTTCAAATATGTTATATATATATATATATCTAAAACTTGCCAAATTATAGTATAAAAATGTCAAAAAACTGCTAGTATGTTAAGCTTCACGGAAATGAACACGAAAATGTAGGAAACCTTGGAAAAAATATTATGAATGTTAAAAAATTATTTTTAATATCTGCTACCAAAAGTTTAACAGTTTAAAGTTTATTTGAGTCTCTTATCTATTGTTACTGTTCTTTATTATAATCTGAGCTAAATAGCCAAGTTTGAAGCGACCTATATGCTGTGAATTCAAATCTAAAACTTTTTACTTAAACCATAAAAACAAGATAAAAGTATCGTAAATAAAATCGGTTTTTGCAAGACACTGTCAAAACTCCTGTATTAAAACTTTTGTTTGCCAGTTCTGGAGAAAGAAAAATCGGACCATCCGTTTTATCCAGGCTTAGTCAGTATCAGGTGTAATTATTTGGTTGTTTCTGCCATCAACTCACTTCACCTAATCTACAATATAAAAATCAGACAAATGCTTTAGTTTATCAAGCGTCTGGCTTCTTGTAAATCACTCCATCCTCTTCTCAAAATCACGAAAAATATATTATCAACAACGCTTTCTAGGTGATTGAAAGGGATTTGAACTACTTTTGCTTGCTACCACCCTGCTATAGCAAAATTGATTCCAAATAAAGAAAGAATATACTCTTCAGTGATTTATATTGATTATTATTATTATTAATTAATTTACATAAATATTAATTTAAATTGCAGTTTCTGTTTATTTGTTATCACGAAATTCGAGGTGCACATGAAGTTCAATAGGATAAAGGATATCATTTCATTTATTTGCCAGTTCCGATGACACATTTTCCTATTGGAAAGTAAAAGCTACTGTACTCTTGTATCATCAGCAAAAAACATATTCAAAAAAGAATAAGTAAAAAAGTAAATAAGCAGAATATGATAACTCATTGCTGATTACATTGCGGTAACAAAGGTTCCGCCCCGGAGCAAAATTATTTATGCTAAAAATTATCAGACATCAACGTTGACGTGCACATATTTCAGATTAATAATTCCACTCAGTAACAACGAGCGTCTAGCAAACAGGAATATGACCGTATAAGGAGCTCAAAAAGAAAACGCCATCAACAAAAGCTCAATACCACAGCTACAACAACAGATTATAGTACAAACAACAAAAACATCTATTGGTACGGTAATAGCTGAGCTTCATTGACGGTAGTGCTGACAACTGCTGAAGGAAATAATGCCTTATGTAGATAGAACTAAATATGCTTCCGATGAGCATGAAGGATGCTGTCATCGTCCGTCATCTTTAATATGCAAAGAGCAAAACCTTTCAGTTGCATTAACATAATTGCATAAAATTCAATTTTATCATAAACGAATGGAATGACAGATAGCAAAGAAAACATATTGCGGCTCTGGGAATATTGCGAAATGGATTTTGACAGAGAAGACAGACTTGATAAAATTATAAATAAATAAGAATATCCTACAGCACAGAGAAGTAATGCCGAAATAAAATATTGCTGCTTTTGAATAATATGCCAAAATATATCAAATTTATGGAACTCT